ATCCATCCATCCATCCATCCATCCATCCATCCATCCATCCATCCATCATCTTTACCAGCTTCTTCCTTTTTTTGGTCGCATGGGTCACTGGTGTCCGTATCCAGCTATCACTGTGCGAGAAGCAGGGTACACCCTGGACAGGTCTCCAGTCCATCACAGGGACACATAGAGACAAACAACCATTCACTCTCTCACTCACACCTAGGGACAATTTAGAGTTACCAATCAGTCTAACATGCATGTTTTTGATCTGTGGGAGAAAACCGGAGTACCTGGAGAAAACTCACGCAGCACGGAGAGAACATGCAAACTCCACCCAGAACGTTCCATGATGGGGATTTGAACCAGCAACCTTCTTGCTGAGAGGCAACAGCTCCACCAACTGAGCCATCATGTCCTGATAATGATATGACATTTGTTTTTTCTTTAAACAGACTTGGAGAACAGTTGTAGAGAAAGTGAATAAAGTCCCACAAGTGAGATTTGAGTGCACGAGACAGCAAACGGTGAGGAAAATGTGAAAGAGAATTGAAAACAAGAACAAAGAAGATAAAGCACATTCTTGAGGGAAACAGACTTGAGTGTGGTTAATGAGGCCTGGATTAATGAAGGCAGAAGGCTTCATTTGTGGGAGGTGAAGAGATGCTCTCAGGGAAGGTGGGCTGATGGAACAAGACAACAAGGAGCTGGAAGAGAAGGAGTGATTGTGAGGAGAATATAAGTTATGATCACCTTTGAAGGATCTGTTATATCGACTTCAAAGTGTGGGAATTAAACATTTTAATTTTAAATTAAATTAAATTGAATATTGTTGTTTGTGTTTAGACGCTCTGCTGTCAGCTCCGCTCAATGTGACCATCAGAGAACTTGAGGTGAACTCGGCCATGGTGACGTGGGAAATCTTGGAGGGCGACCCCGTCATTGGCTTTGCCATCACTCAACAGGTACCTTTGAGGATGTTAAATGTGCGTTTATGTGAGTTTGGGTGACAAATCCTAATGAAAGGCCTCACATTCCTTGACTGCATGCATGTCCTCCCACTTTTAGAAAAGAGTTTTGCACAAAATTATGTTGATAAATGAAAGAGCTGAAGGCATTTTGGTTGTACTTTTATAATAACATTGTATTATATATATATATATAATATTGGTACAATTTCAAGTGGAACACAGTTCAAACACATTTTGCCACAGTAAAACACTAATATCCAAACTTTTATTGCTTTTTATGCAAATGCAGTTATGTAAAATGTTATGTCACTTTCACATTACTGCACTCGGTGACTTCAACAATTCAATTCAGTTCATTTATATAGCGCCAAATCACAACAGAAGTTGTCTCATAGCGTGGCACAAAACAATCACATTATAAAAGCTAAGTAGTAAAGTTGTTGATCTAAGGAAGCAGCAGATTGTGTTTAATCTTCACTTCATCTCAGTCTCCCATCCTGAGCAAGCACAAAGGAGACGGTGGAAAGGAAAAACTCAATTTAAACAGGAAGAAACCTCCAGCAGAACCAGGGTCAGGACGAGCGGTCATCTGCTTCGACCGGCTGGGTTTGAGAGGACAGGAAGGAGAAACAGACAAACACAGAATGACAGGTCCACGTGTACTTTCTATAGGAGGAAAGACAAAAAATATGTTAATTACAAATACAAACAGGTAGACTAGAGCAAGTAAAGACAGCAGCAGAGTGGAGAAATGCAGTCAGTTTGTCCTCCAGCAGTCTAAGCCTATAGCAGCATAACAAGTCAACCCTAACTATAGGATTTATCAAAAAGGAAAGTCTTAAAACTGGACAATGTGTCAGCCTCACGGACAGAAACTGGAAGTTGGTTCCACAAGAGAGGAGACTGATAACTTAAAGATCTGCCTCCCATTTTCTTTTTGGACACTCTAGGAAACACAAGTAAACCTACAGTCTAAGAGTGAAGTGCTCTGTTAGGAATGTATGGAACAATAAGATCTGTAATATAAGATGAAGCTAGGTTGTTGAGAGCTTTGTAGGTTAGAAGTAAGATTTTGAATCGTATTCTGAATTTGACAGAGAGCTGATGGAGAGAAGCTAAAACTGGAGTAATATGATTTCTCCTACCAAAATCCATCAGAAATTGTAAAGTATTTTCCTGCTGAAAGTGCCCTAGCTTATATAAAAAGTAAAGGTTTGAACGAGTGTTTGCTTGAAGCCCTAAAAGATTTTTGAGATCGGTTTTAAGACGGCAGCGATCCACTGTGGCCTTAGGTAGGTGTGCCTGAACTAGCTGTTAGCTCATCTGTCCTGTCAGTAAATTATGTCTCTCCAAGCTGAAGCCACTCAAAAAACAGGTACATTTACAAAACAAGATATTGACCACCTTTACCATTTGCTGTAGTAAGCTATTAAATGTTTCTAACTTTTCCATTGTTTAAAATGCCTGAAATAACCCTTTAAAGCTATAGATCTACTTTCAGACACTTGTCAGATGCACATTTTGTTCTCACAAAGTTTTAATGGTTTAGGCCATTTCCGTCTTTAATTATGTGGTAAATAAAAGTACCCCAAGGAGCAGTACTCTTTAATCCAGTAGAAGCTAATTGACCTTAGTGAGCAGCCCAAGCAGGGAAATAATGTGCATTTCCAGCTGAGTGTACTTGGCCTGAGACAAACTCTGCTTCCTTGGGCTTAATTATATTGAAGGAAAAAAGCCCAAAAGGGTTTATCAGAGCTTTTTTCCCAACCATTAACCAGAAAGACAGAAGTGTTTACTCTAACACAAACCAAACCCTAACAGGGAAAATTGGACTCCCCTACAGAAAAGTACACCTTATAAAACCTAATATATTTTTGATGAGCTGGAGAAAAATGGTTTTGTCTTGAGAACCCAGACTGTAGTTTAAAGCTTGTGAATTAAACAGTTTATTAGATGCTTGCTTTTCCAACAAAACCTTCTAATATCAACATTTCTGTCTGGTTCCTGTGCTGTCGCAGAAGAAGGATGTGCGCATGTTGAGGTTCATCCAGGAGGTGAACACCACCACACGCTCCTGTGCATTGTGGGATCTGGACGAGGACACTGAGTACATCGTCCATGTTCAGAGCATTAGCATGGGAGGAAGCAGCCCCCCCAGCCAGCCCGTGCTCTTCAGAACGCCAAAAGAGTCGGAGAAGATGGCGTCCAAGAGTCCTGGTGAGTCTTTGTCAAAGAATCAACAAATTTCAACAAAGTTAAGTCAGGTCCTCTGGACAGTTAGTTTTTGTTGAAATGTTTCGTCTTTCATTTCACGTTTCAAGAAAAAGAAACCGTCCAGAGGACCTGGCTTAACTTTGTTGGATTTTTCTACCTGGATTATTGAGCATAAACTTTGATAATTAAGGCAGTGTTTCCCCTACCATTATACAAGGAGTGCACCCTGCCCTGCCAACAGAACCGAGCGGCCTGCCTATCGAACTGTCAATTCAGTTCAGTTTCTTTATACAGCACCAAGTCACAACAGAAGTCATCTCAGTCCTCCACTAACCCCCCACCCTCACCCCCTCGTCGACAACTGCCGGCACTAAGCTAGCGGTGCGCAATACAGATGCGCTACGTAAAAAATTACAGAGCCCTCCGTTTCCCTTTCCTTCCACTCCCCACCCCATGGAAGAGATGAGCGCCCTGCCATGGCAGTAACCTAGGGGTGGAAACTGTAAGGGCATGGTTGAAAGTGGCTTTGATCTTTAGCTCCAGTTTTGATGCAAGAAAGTATTAATGCTCAGTCACATTCCTTCCCCTGCCTGCTGAGTGTCGTTAGGATCAATAGGCACATTTTCAATGTGGACCCGGAACATTTTTACTTTGGTAAATATTCACCCTGATCCACAAGTTGACAGCACGGTGGCGCAACTGGTAGAGCTGCTGCCTCTCAGCGAGCAGGTCCTTGGTTCAAACCCCGGTCCGGGGGCCTTTCTGGGTGGAGTTTGCATGTTCTCTCGGTGCATGCGTGGGTTTTCTCCGGGTGCTCCAGTTTCCTCCCACAGACCAAAAACATGCATGTTAGGCTGATTGGTAACTCTAAATTGTCCCTAGGTGTGAGTGAGAGAGTGAATGGTTGTTTGTCTCGTTTGTCTCTATGTGTCCCTGTGATGGACTTGCGACCCGTCCAGGGTGTACCCCGCCCCTCGCACAGTGATTGCTGGACATGGGCACCGGCGACCCCCGTGACCCAAAATGGAATAAGTGGGTAAAAGATAATGGATGGATCCACAAGTTCTCAGTTGCTAAATGTTTTTTTTTTTTTTTTTCCCAAGGTCAAAACAAGTAGCAGGAGGTACTAATGCTTCAATCTTTCATCGCAACCTGGATTTATTTTGGGGATGCGCAAAACAACAAACAGAAAATCTTTCTATTATTATATTTGATCATTTTATTTATTTCTTTTGGCCCTGTGATGGACTTGCAACCTGTCCAGGTGTACCCCGCCCCTCACACAGTGATTGCTGGACATGGGCACCAGCGACCCCCAAAATGGAAGAAGCGGGTAAAAGTTAATGGACGGATATTTGTTGTTTTCCTTTTTACCAGAATGGAAGTTTGTACAATAAAGAGGTTTGTTACTGCTAAAATCAAGGCTTTTATTCATGGATCTCTAAACTGAGATAACATTGTGTTTTAATAAACATACGGGGGAGATGTTCTTCACATAGTTATTGCATTAAAGCTTCAGGTCAACCCAGCTGAGGTGAGTTCTGCTCCACACCTTAAAGCTCACTTTGTTTTATCTTGCTGCGCACAGGTGTTGTACCAAAATGTGTTCTGATGCTGCTGATGGGTACTCAGCCTGTTGGAGTCTCACTGTTTCTGCAACTTTGGTTCTTGGAAGCGAACAATATTAACATCAAACAACATTTATTTGTATGCCCATTAATATAGCGAAGGTGTTTCTCAGTTTCACTTTTATTTTTTTCTGAAAAACTCACAATGTTCTTTTTGTGAAAGTGTCTGTTTCCCATGTTTGTTGTTTGTCATAAATATCTGTAGGTTCCTCTTGTGTTTCAGTTTTGTTCAGTTACTTTGAGCCACCCAAAAGTTTGTAAAATAATGTTTTTAAATAAACAGCCATTATACTTATTGGCTTTTTAATTGCTTTGTTAGAAACAAAAGGGTGATATTTTGAAAATTGTAGCACAGATAATCAAAATATCTTAATAATGTCATTTTCATTCATCAGATTGACAAACCTCTACTTTAAAATGACTTTATTTCACTTAAAGGGATTAGATTTTAAAGATCTTAGTTCACATAGTGAATACTTAAGTATTTCATTCATTGTCAAAATTTGGTTTTACAGCACGGGTCTTGGGGGTGCACAAACAATTTTCTTTCTCCAAATGGGCCTGTAAAAAACCCACTGCCATAATATACATGGTGTTTTACATGAATGAAGTCATCCTATATGACGTATTTTGTCTCCTGCTGAAGTGATGTGATGGTCCAACATGTAGAGTGTTTACATTATAGACTTCCTGTCCCCACATTCTGTAAATGTTAAGGAATAAAGTCAGCAGCATCTGATGTATGTACTGCTATGTTGTATTTTTGGAAATAGTCTGTGGGGCTTTAAGTTCTGCCTTCTCTTCTGCACATAATTGTTGTGTCAAATGAACTATCTTGTTATATCTTTTCAGAATAAGTAAAATACAGCTAAACGAATTTAAAATTAATACTTGAGTATATAATAGCAAGGTAGGAAACGTGAATCAACAGGAGTCAAATCCTGGTCCGGGGGCCTTTCTGGGTGGTTTGCATGTTCTCTCCGTGCATGCGTGGGTTTTCTCCGGGTACTCCGGTTTCCTCCCACAGACCAAAAACATGCATGTTAGACTGATTGGTAACTCTAAATTGTCTCTAGGTGTGAGTGACAGAGTGAATGGTTGTTTGTCTCGTTTGTCTCTATGTGTCTCTGTGATGGACTGGAGACCTGTCCAGGGTGTACCCCGCCCCTCGCACAGTGATTGCTGGACATGGGCACCGGTGACCCCCGTGACCCAAAATGGAAGAAGCGGGTAAAAAATAATAGATGGATGGATGGATGGAACTACCGGTATTCATTAACATGGAGGGGCGGGGCATACAACTTGCTAATAAGGAAGCTTGTTTTCCTCCTACTTCAACTTTCAGGTTCTACTCTGAGGTCTCTGTATTAACAGTCGTAGTCAGTCATGGATAAAAGAGATTCCCAAAACAATCAGGTGTAGACTTCATCAGATTTATTTCAAAGCTATAGAACAGCCAGCAGATACAGAAGATCAATGCATTTACAAGTACAACTTATTAGTACTTGTCTGAGATTATGACCCGTTCTGACTTACTGAAGTGAAAAAAAAAAGTCAGTTTTGTTGAAACTTCCAGCTCAGGCCCCTCTCCACCCTGTCCAGCTGTTAGAACCCAGCTGCAGTCAGGAGCGAGAGGTATCTGAGAGCCAAACAGTTCCCAAGTTGTCTGGAACCACATGACTGTAATCATATCAATCAAACCTTGAGGATAATAAATATTATCTCTTGCCGTCTCTTTACTGACTGGTCACATGAAGACTGATGATTACATAGAGTAAGGAACATGGAGCATTTTAATATCATTCACAATAACAGTAAAAGAACAGTGCATAAAATGCATTAATAAAATAAATTTATGAAGCATGCTGAGTGCAAATATTATACATTCCCTTGACAGCCACAACAACAGGTAGCTTACCTCAGCATATTTCTATCATATTGTTATTAGGAATCCAGTGGGCTCAACCAGTTGGAAATGTTTATTGCTCCTCCAGTTCTTGGTAATTTCTAAGGTAGTATCTTCCTACCAGGGGGTGTTCTCTGGGTTAAAATTCTACTCTGGAAATTTGGTTTGGCCCTGGTTCCTGCATTGGAAACAACAGGGGTAAACACTACCCTGGTTCCTAAAAAAAGACTCCAGGAGTGAAAACACACTTTTTGTTAGCCTGGACCACATGCACAATTTCAAATATCAAATTAAATCTGAGCCAGTTGTAGGCCACATACCATAAGTACTCATGGCATTGATGTAGCTTGAGTGTGACAACTGGATGTCATTCACAACAAGGTCTCATACAGTATGATACAAATAATAATATGCCAGATACATGTGACATATCTGGCAACATGTCACATGTTAAAAGTTGCAAATCACCATCTATTTGTCTGGGGGTTAGATTCAAAACTGCATCGTATACTGTGTAAAACTGAACCCTGAGACCTGCTTCTCGTGTTTAATGTTGTTTTTATTCTATTTTATTTGACATAGGCTCCTTAAGTGTTGTACTCCCATAAAAGGAGCAACTCACTTAGTTTAAAATCTGGAGGGTCACACTTTGAGAAAACTCCCAGGACTCGAAGCACAACGTCTAAAAACAAGAAACAAAGTATAGTTGCCTTTTGTGTCTTAACATGTCTTTATGATGCTTCAAAGTGCACATTTTTACGCATTTCCCTCTTTAATTAATATTACAGTAAAGTCTATAAACACTTCTCAGCATAAACAACATTTCAAGATGTACATATATGCATTTGTTTTTAATTGCATAGGACATATTACAAACACATGCATCTAAGAAGGAAATTGATATTCCATGCATACAAAAGCATAAAAATGCCAGAATAACAGTGCACAGAAACAGAAGCAATCATGCATCAATAGAGCCAGCCAGATGGAGTAAACAACAATCTGCTCGTCTGTTTCACCCTTGTTGTGACAAACATCTACAGCCTGAAGTTCACACACACAGATACGAGAACAGATTTTTATATTAGCTTTTTTTATGCAGCCAATAACACAGTGGAGCACTAATAATCTGTTTAGGCTTTTCCAGGACAAACAAAATGGTCATAAAGCACAAATCTTAGTGAGAACTCCTCTCATCATTCTTTTCACTTACAAGCACAGAGGCTGCTCTTATCTGGAGCAGCTTACACCGCCTCCACTTTTAGCATGCCCAACCCAGTTATGTTGCCAAAAGCTGCTGCTTCAGAGGTGCAATGCAAAGTGCTGAATGTCTATCAGTGGTCAGGTGATGAGAGAAGAACTGTGTCAAGGGGGCTGGGTTTTCCCTACAAACACCATATCGAGTGAGTTGTTTGAGGGAAACACATGCAAGAATAAAATTAGTGTCCATATTTTGTAATTGTTTCTTC